ACTTCAGCGGCCGGGGGCGGCGCGGGGGGACGCCCCTTCCTCCTTCCACACGCTCGGGCCCGGGACACGATCCGCGCTTGGCGAGCGAAAGGGAAATGTGAGATTTTTACCCCCGCGCTGGGGGCGAGAGGGTGGGGGAGAAAAGCGGTACAGTAAAATCGTCTCTTGTTTTGTTTTGTTCTAGCTTTCAATGAAATCTAATTCATAAATTGGACATGCTCAGGCTCAGAAGACTAATTCATCCCCCAAAACAAACGCATCAGTGATTGCGGACACCCAAACGTGACGAGCGTCTCAATATGCCACGGATCCAGAGAAGACAAATTCATCCAGGAGCCCGAGACGTAATTAAAACTACTGCCAAGAGGATGAGTTGAGAGCAGGATGTTACCAAGATTATTAAGTTGCTGTGGGGCTGAGGCGTGGACCGCTACAGCAGTACACATAGATAATGTCAGCATTTGGGTAACAGGAGGCAGGGCGATTCCTGGAGGTCGCCGTCTTTTGAGTGCAAGCCTAGTACCAGAGCGCTGTGGCCAGATCCTGCTCCCGGGGGAGGTAACGCCAGAGCTCAGGGACTCGGCGGGAGAAGGGTCAGGCCACCGCCTGCTTAGCCTGGGGGTCTGTCCACAGCAGGCTTCAGAGGGGTGTCCCCGGGGCAAATACCTGAACAGTCCCCTGCCCCCGTTGTTACACCAGCACTGCCGTGTAAATCCAGCACACTTTCTATAACCATCACCTGTACATGCACTACTAAATTCTCCAGATACTTAGCATGGGTTGCTTGCATGAGGGATTGCTGCAATGTATTTATTTAACATAGAAAACATTTTTGCATGCAGAGCACAGCACAGCAAAAAGCGCTCAGTGCTAAGGAGTAGCAAATATAGATAAGCTTTACAGTGGCTGGGGAGGCAGAAGGGGGAGAGAACACAGTATAGATGGAGCAGAGTGAAAGGGAAGGAAGCCGAAATGGAAGTGATATGAACAAGAATCCCTGTTGATCCACATGCGTCAACAGTCTCCTATTCAGTGGCGGTTACAAGCACAGCTTTTGAATGGGGAAAAGCAGGAGCTAAATAAAACAAGGTATGCTCTTTAAAAATAAATCACCTGTTAGCTACTCTTACTTACAGTCCTTGTCTTAAACATACAATTTCACACTGATCAATGCAGAATGATATATACTATATGCTGTATTTCATGTAATAAAAACACTTAATCCAGATAATTGGCTTCTGGGACGAAGATCAATAGAAATGTTCCTTATTTGACTACGTTAGCAAGTCAAAATTAATTCTCATTTACATTTGCTTCAAATCAATACACACTTAGTGACTTACACAGGCTCTTTAAAAAGTTAAGCACCTATATTGACCACAGTCATATATATGTCAGTAACGAGTACATGTGTGGGAATTAGAGAGGGGGGAAGTGTTACCGCAGAACCAAACTCTGACTTCCATAGAGGAAAGGAGGTTAAATTTATTTGTGTTTGAAGAGTGCTTTGGCATCCTAGCCTGAAACCTGTAGAAATATGCAGCTATTAACCCCGCAATTTATGCAGGCGTCCAAACACCAGCCAGTTACATTCCAAGCACTTGGGAGCAGGCTTGCCTCTTAAGTTTGTACAGTGAGGTCTTGACCTCAGCTGGGACGCCTCTGGCTGCTATTTTAATAATAGTAAAATAGTAATATAAAATATTAAAAATCTAAACCCAGTGAATTGGCCAAGTTACAAAATTTCCTGTGAAATCCATGAGCAAACACTCTGCATGCAGAAAAGGATCCAGTCCCAGCCAAGAGGGGGAAAAAAGGACAGGAGCCCAGAATACTGTAAAACAGACCAATTGAAACAGGCCCCAAAAAAGGGCAGAAGGCTATTTGTCACAGCCAGGGGACAGCGACAAACAAGAAAAGTGCCTAGAAGAAGTCTCAAATGCCATAAAACCCGATTTGTAACATGCAAAGTACAATGAGACCTAAACGGGTCCACCACACCAAAGAGAAGAACTGCAACTTCGGTAGCATCTCTGCAAGATGGAGAGTTGCAGCATCAAAACTTCATTGTCTCTGGTTTTAAACCTGATTTAAGTCAGGCTGCATTACCTTTTCTTTCCCGTTATCTGCATTATCTTTTCTTTCTCTTCCCCCTCCACTCTTATTTTTTTTTTTTTTTTTTTTTAAACTTTGGCTTGGATTATGTTTGTCACAATATTTACGCCTCCTCTATTATTTCCCTTCTTCCAAAAAAGCTATCAATGTTGCATTTCTAAGTCCAGTATAAATGAGCGCGCTCGTTTCACTTCTGCCATTCATCATTTACAATTGGAAGAGCGCTGACATTTTGCGGTGGGTGTACAGTGTTTAGATGCAGCAGTCGGCACTAAAAGGCTAATCCATTTGCCAACATTTTGCATATTAAGAATGTTACAAGTCACCGTGATATTCCATCATCATTGTGTAGGGAACAACTCATTACACATTATTACATAAGGGACCACTGGATTTACAGTACCAATGGAAAAATGACATCCCATTAGAAATATGCAAGGTAAATACCCAACTCAAGAAACAGTCACTATTCAAAGTTCAACTCCGTGGCAACAGATGCAATTCTATGCACATCTCTATCACCTTTGCAAACCACTGTGGTGATTTTAAGGTAACCTATCATGAGCTATTGCTGTGTTTATTTCTGTTGTCAGAACAAATGTGTATGAAACCTGTACCGAATGGGTTTTGCTACCACAAGAGAATGGCTTGAGTAAGGCTCTGAAAACAACATTGCAATTAGAAACATAGCATATCCTAGAAAGGTGAACTGAAAGGCTTGTGCAGTGCCACGCTCAGAGCCTTGCGCCCAGGGCTCTGTCCCTCTGTGCTGCCTCAACAAGAACAAGGCACGTTTTGAAAGACATCACCAGAACTACGGCTGCAGGATATGCCTGGATCGGGAAAGCCCCTCGTGTTTACTGAGCATTTAACAAAGCTGCTTCATAAGCAGGAGCTCTGCAAGATCAGAACATCAAGACTTTTACCGTATCTTAGCCTACGCTCAGAATAAATGGAGTGCTTTAAGATTCAGCGTTTCTCCTGTCTTCTCCTAACTTCCACCCATTTACTATAGCTAAGCTGAGGCTTCCCCACATAACAATTGGAACAATGTTAAGTGCTTAAAATGGTGGGAGAAGCATTGGATAGAAATTATGGTTCTTGTTTGGGAAGGGGAAGAAGAGAAACAATACTTACAGTCTGGGTAGTTTAGACAGGGGAAATAATCTTCTCCAAAGCTATCCCTAGAGTTTTCTCAAGAATCTTTATCTCTAGCAGGATGAGGAGGGTGGTGGTGATTCTCTAGTCCCCCTGACAGCACAAATCCATAATTGCCCATGCATTTACACCTAGCTAAGGTAAGAGCTAGCACCTAAAATATGTGTGTAGATATGTGTGTGTACATGTAGCAATGATTATTATTTCCTCTGAAAGTGAATGGAACTCCTCCTCTGTATCAGTTGTACAGGTGTAAAGATGCAGCAAATATCTCCAATTGTTAGCTGCTCAGTCTATGGAGTTGGAAGAATGAAAACAATCAAAAAGATTCTTATGCACAACATGATAACACTCTCCCTCCTTCCCCAATAGCCAAGACATCTACAGTTACACACACACACACAAAGTCGAATTTCATTGCATTTTAGAATAAGAAATTTAACAGCTCTGCTTCTGTCTGGAAATAGTGATGCAAAAACTCAAACCTACTATACATTCCTAACTTTGTGGATGTTTGTTTAAAAAGTCATTTGATTGTCATTCTCCTGTGGTGACAGCCCGAGGTTTCAGTCGCTTTATTGAAGCTTCCTTTAGCTTACTGAAACCTTCTTTTCTCTTTTCATGGTTGATAGCATAGTATGATAATCTTCCAGGAGTAATGGACTAGCGTCTCTCTGCAAGAAGAGGCTGCTGAATTATAGAGTTCTTTGCGGGACAGTTGACATTCTTGATTAATTTGTTGTGTGCCTACTAACAATCTGAAACTTTGCTACAGTCAACACTTTGTTTGGATTGACATGCCTTTTAAGATGCCATAAAGAAAGCCAAGCACTACTATTTCCAGATTTTTACCCGATTTAATTCAGCAGAGTACACACAGCCTAGATTCTATTTAATTCATACTTATATTCACTTA